GAGAGAGAGAGAGAGACACGCAACGCGTGAAATCGATCGCGACGCATACCCCGAAGGCACACCTTTCCGGAGACGCGAAAAAACGCGACTTTCGCTCTCGTTCGATCATCTGCGCGTAAACATCTGCGTGGGAGTCCCAGATGTGTCGCCCAGATATGGGAGAGGAAGATAGAAAGAGAGACGGAGAAACGAAAAGAGAGAGAAGGGGAAAGAAGAAAAAACGAAAGATGCGAACCTCGGGCCGTATCGAATTAACTCGCGGACACGACGCAGTAGCACCGCTGCCGATTTCCCAGTCGATGTCCCAGGTGTATCCTTCTCATATTTCGCCCAGGCGATCCCCCCACGAGGTCCACCGTTTCAACGATGGATCGTCGCGAGCAGAAGCGAGACCGCGTTGTCAGTCGATCCGCGGGATCACGGCGAGTATAAACACGGCGACATAACCTAGGGTTTCCGCGGCAGGTACGACGGTGATGGGAGGCCGCGAGTCGACTGCGCGCAGGGAACCGCGACGGCGGGCTCGCACGGTAATCGCGATCTCGGGTTACGTTCGGAAACGTCACCCGAGTAACTCCATGTATCGTTTTATCCTTGTTGTTCATCGAATGTTAAACAAGGATGAGACGATACACGGAGTCACTCGGGTGGTGTTTCCGAACGTACTCTCGCGCGCGCACCGAGTGAAACTTTAAACGGGTCACATGTCCTCGGCGTCGCGTGACGGCCGGGCGTCGTGTGCGCGTGCGGCGCACCTCGAGCGGAGTCGCGCGAATTTTCGACGGAAAAGGGAAGAGGAAACGGTCGAGGCGATCGCGCGGAGAGGAAATAGGCGCACCGCGCGCATTTCCGCGCTCGAATATAAATGCTCTCGCGCGATGACGTTATCGACGAGTCCTCGACGCCGTGACAGATAAGGCGCACGGTGACTCATACTCGTCTTTTCTCTTTCTCGTCTATATTTGCATGCCGTATCGAATATATAAATCTTTTTTTTCACTGTCTCCGATTCACCCGAGGGATAATGGTGTTGACGGTTAGCTAGCTCTTATCGGAGTTTATATGGAAAAGAATTGGCCGTTAATGCCCTCTTGACGAACATTGTGTGGTAGAAATGAGAAACAGTAAATTCGATTTGAATAAAAAAATTTTGATTTATCTGTCAAATAAATAAGTCTGTTTTTTGTAGACGAACTTGCATCATTTATATTCTCTCTCTTTTCCTCCAACGTCGAGAAAATAAGAAAAAAGTTGAACGGTGCAAGAAGTAGTACAGCTAAAAGCAACACGTCTTATAATATTTATATTATTATTTAGTTAATGTAAATAGAATTCTTTATTTTTTTATAAATATATAGAAGAAAAGTTTAAATCAGGAAATAATTAGATTGTTTGCTTTAAACAATTCTGCCTTATGGCAGATGTTAAATTACAGATCGATTAAATTAATTACATTTTGATTGAAATAGAAGTTTTAAGTTAAATAAAATATACGTGATAATTAAAAAAGCTTGATTACACAAAAAATACAAAATGTTATTAAGCGGCAGATGTATACATATGTATAATTAATATATGCTTATTAATACGATATAATTGTAACTTACAAATTATAAAATATTGTAATATATTAATTTCTATTAATCTATTGAGAAAATTTATCGTGGATGATTTTGGACTTATTATAATTATTACATCATAGGCGAGTTTTTTAATTCATCGATAAATAAATCGCGTTATATGCACAAATGCAACTTTGCTCTATAACAGCAACATTTGCGTATTATGCGTTTAATCAATCGATGAATTAAAAAACTCGTCTTATCTTTCGGTCATTTTAAATTTATGTTATTCAAGTAATTACTTATATTCTCGTTAGATGGCGCCATGTAATCTAAAACAGTTCTGTATTTCATAATACTTTTCATTTATTTCGTTTCGAGAGATGTATATCTTTGACGAGAAACGAAAAAGTGTCATTTACATTTGGTATTATTCTCAAAATTATCATAATGTATATTTATTCATAATTAAATTACAATTAATTAGATTAAAACATATTGATTGTACTGTATTAAAAAACAGAATCCATTTATGCGTCATTGTGCTTAATCATTAGAAATTGAAATTATTTCGCATTTTTATACGAATCCAAATAAAACAATATATCAAAGAATAAAATTCATTTAGACAAACACAAGAAGAAAAACGGAAAAAAATTACTTTTTATATTTATAGATTCATGAAATAATATGCATATCTTAAGTGCGAATATCAATATGGCTGTCTATTCTACAAGAAATATTAGAAGCAAGTACATCTCAATATATCACGACATCGTTCACGTCACGTGATACGACGCGGTGACGATGTGTGACGACGCATTATCACGTGACATCCCGCTATAGTTACTCATCTCTATATATACATATATAAGTCAATTTAAAATATTGAATTCATTTCGTTGCTTTTCGTGTCTTTTACAATTAGATTTCTCGAAATATTTATAGAAAATATCTAGGACATCATTATAATTATCTGAAATGTATGTGAAAAGTGCTGAATTTTTAACGCGACGATCTAATCATCCGTATTTAAAATTGTTTCATTTCGAACGCTGCAACGGCGCGCGCATTTGCATGGCCGCCATGACAGTTTCAGAGCGTGTCGGTTCAGAACACGGAGCGCAGACTCTCCATAATTAATCGCGGTAATTTTATCCGATAAAAGTGCATGACGAACGGAAATTCTTGTCGGGAGTGCCGATTGAAAGGACGGGCGATCATCGAGACATATCGGTTATCATGGACGATTGCGATCGACGACGTTTCGTAACCGACACTGCATCGCGAGTAAATTCCAGTGAGTACAGATTCCAATGTCTTTGGAAATGGGAAAGTGATCCTTACGATTCTATGAGAAAATTGCCACTTGATTGCCGTAGTTCTCATTAACTGCAATTATATGTGCATGTATCGCTATTAGTAAACACTGCATGCAAGTGGAACGCAGTTGTGAGGCTTGTTCTTTAGTTGAATTTTTTGCGTGATTCATCCTTCCTCTTTTTCTTTCTATGTTGGAGAAACAGAGAAAAAATATGAACTATGCAAAAAGTTTAACTAAAAAGAACAGGTCTATGATATGTCGTATTCTTAAATGATAAATGATGGACGTGTCACAGTTTCGTCAAGTGAACTTCGTGCGATCGTAGCGTCATTAGACGGTATGTCGTATCAGTAATGTGAACGATAATTTTATCAAGTAAAATCCGTGTAACTGTAGCATTATCTTTTATACAGAAAAAAATTTGATTTATATAAAGATTTATATCAAGATATCTTATATATAATTAAAAATATAATTTTATATATAATTAAAAATATCGTAATCTTCTTATAGAAGATTTTTGAGCTAAAATAATATTTATATTAATATAAATTCAATCAATTCAAAACTAAAATTTTTAAGATTATAAGAAAATTATTCTTGCTTATATATGAGAATGTTTGTCTTGATTTATAATTAATTTTTTTCTGTGCATTTATATTATTAACTTGCATGATAAATGTTTTACGTTTCTAAAATGAGCTCATGTAACGAGCTCTTTAAATGAGCTCGTTAAAAAAAGTTTATATGTATATCAATCATTAATTATTTACATATTTGAAATAATTGATAGAATATATATATATGTAGTAATTTACTACACGTGATTTATATATGTGATATAATTGATATTTATATATATTAATGTATTAATTAGCAGTGATCTACAGTTAATATTGTAATCATAACATTAATTAAATTAAACGCATGATTTAATTGAAATACGCAGTAGTAATAATAGATAGTCACAAAAAATTTGTTGATTGTTTTTATAAATTAGTAATGTATAATTACAATTAACATAATTGTTATGTTTATTATATTACGAGTGAAAAATTATAAATAAAATTTATAATTATTTGAAGTAGAGAGTAATTGGCAATAATAACGATATATTCTTATTAACACGATCACTATTTAATTGTTCAATAAATTAATAATGCTGCAGCTATTAATGTTGTGACCGTTATAGATACATAAATTATTTGAAGTACAGGATTGTAATTGGCAGTGATAATGATACATTCTCATTGGCCGCGATTATTGTTCAATTATTGTGTAAATCGATAGTGCAGTAAGTACTGTAATCAATAGCAACAGTAGCTAATATTGCAATCATTTATTAAATTATGAGTATATGGTTTATTTGAGATATGTGTCTATTATTAGTAGATTGCGAAACATTTTCTATTTTATTTACAATTACTATTTTAGAAATGCGAAATTGTTGTAGTTAATACTATGGTTATAAAAATTTATGATTATAAAAATCAATAGTCTCATCATATTCGAATTTTAGAGAAAAAAACCAACAACTTTACAAAACAACTTTAAAAAAAATATCGAGATTCTCGTGCATAAACATAATTATTGACAGATTTTGTATTGAATAAAAAAATTCGTCATCGGGCACATGTCACAATAGCTGGTAAGAAACAATTATGTGCACGTACGTGTCGCGAAACAAAGTGCCGTTTTATGTCGTGTTTCGCGTTTTATAAAATTGCGTGGCAAACTCGTGATGTGAATTCGAGATTCTCGTATTTCTACAAAAATAAAATACGCGACCAAACTTTTAAAATTCATTTGATGCACATAATTAAGGATATATTTCCGATATTTATCGTTTCCTCGATGGAGAAAAATATGGAGAAAAATATATATTTCTAAAGGGGAATTTGTATGAATGGAACAATATATGAGGTAAACTACAATATCCTAGCTATTGAATAAAATTTTTTATCTATACATTATTTTGATTTATACATATTATTTTGATGATACAATTGCAATTTTATCTTTTTAAATATTTATTTTAATGCTTTTTATATATTTTTTATAAAAATATTTATATTAAGTATTAAAAAATAATAAAAATATTTAATTGCAATAATAATAACTTAATAAGAATTTATGATAAAATCAATGTTGTAAAATCAATGTTATTAAATTTAAAAATTAGTTTGAAAATTTTTTATTTATTATATATATTTTCAATCTATTGTCTGAATAATGAATTATGACAATCGTCTCTAATTTTAAATTCTTTCTGAATAAGTTTTTCGATGAAAATTTAACAAATGTATAAATAGAGAAAAATATTGAGGCGGAAGTAATTCAAGGTAAATTTATTTTAATAATCAACATATATTCAATTAAATACTGAAATATTTAAATAAAATTCATATGATTTATTGTACAAACCATTAATAATATATTTATTATTAATTGCGCTTTATAATTAAAGTGGAAATAATCAAATAATATGTAATAATCGGCATACATAAAACGCATAATAAAATTTACAATAATTATTATACATTCATGTTTTGTACGTTTAGCTGAAGGCATACTTATCTAGGATACGATTGATGAGTGAATTTATTACATTTGCATGTTATGTAATATCATTCACTGTTCTTCTATTTGCCATTATTTATCTTATAATTATTAAGAATTATGCTTTGATAATTACATCTTTATTTGCATAATTCACATAATAAAAATTATGAGCAAATAATGAAATAAAGAAGAAAATTATTACCTATATTCATATACTTGTTT